TGATTTAAGAGTCTTCTTTTTAATTGGAAGAAGAGAAGAGATTGGATTTATACCTCGCCCTTCACTTGGAGTCTCAGAGCGGCTTACAAACTCCTTTCCCTTCCCCTCCCCACAACAGACACCCTGTGAGGTGGGTGGGGCTGAGAGAGCTCTGACAGAAACTGCTCTTTTTCAAGGACAGCTGTGCCAGAGCTTGTGACTGACCCAAGGTCACATCAGCAGGTGCAAGTGGAGGAGTGGGGAATCAAACCCGGTTCTCCCAGATTAGAGTCCGCATACTTAACCACTACACCAAACTGGCTCTCTACTACACCAAATTGGAGGGAGTGTGAATATGGGTCTCACAGTCTAGGAGAGATCAGGGTAATGTCAGTGTTTCCTTTGAAGAGGGCTAAAAGTCTCTCTCAAGCTGTGCCTTCACAGGGGATAGTCTCTCGAGCTGGCCGTTGAAGCTGCTGCTTCTCCTATTTATGATTCCGCTAGAATTGTTCTCTAACCACAGCTAGTGACTCACCGTCTTCCCCCCACCGCCTGTTTGTTTTTGATACAGCATGTGCATGTGTAAATGGGGCCACCACCGAGAAAAGCATGGCAGCCAAAACTGGGTTGCCGGCAGGCATCGCAAATGGCATATGAAGAGTGCAGAGTGATTTGGAGTAAAATATGTGGGGGCACCAACTGGCCCACACAGAAAAAGGACTCACAATGCAACGCTATACAGACTCCAATCTACATGTCTATCAAAACCAACAGTCCCAGACTGGAGACATTCTGCCTAGGACTGCACCAGTAACCTTTCCCCAGAGAACAGAATGAGGGGAAAGCTAGCAAAGGTATGATCACCCTCCCCCCCGCAAACAGTTTCTTCCACATCTCTTTTCTTCTCCCATTTATTTAGACTATTTTCCAACTGCCTTTCCATCTGAAGGTGTTTGAGGGGGTATACGGAATTTAAATCAGGTGAAACAATTTCACTACATCCACGAACCCCCCCCCCCGAAAAAAAACATTTTACAAGAATGAAAACAAGCATCTGACGACAAATGGCATCCCTTTTCAAGCCAATTCAAAGGCCTCCCAGAAAAGCCAATTCCGGAAGGCCTGTAGGGGTAGTGGCAGCCTCCTGAGGGAGGGTGTTCCACAGTCTAGATGCAGGAGCAGGAATAGCCTTCCCACAATTCCCAGCTGACCAAGTTGATCGCACCGATCCAGCCTTCCCCCAACATGCCTTCTTCCCACTGAAACGGCTCTGCTTAAGTTGGAGGAATGGTCCTTAGGCTGGAGGTAGGCTACAAAATTTGTTCTGTGGAATGGTGGATAGGGCTAAAATGCACCCCTCGGTTGGCTCCCTCCCATGTCACAAAATTGGTCCCTCTTAGTCTGTGTTAGGATGGTTTGAGGGGTTTTTTGGGGGTGGGGGGGAGTTTTACAATAAATACCCAAGCCATTTTTATTATTTTGTTATTGCCCTTGGAAGACTTCTAAAAGCCTTCTTAAGATCTATGGGGGAGGCTGCCCTGTCAGAACCTGCCTCGGTGAGACTGGCAGTGACCCTATGCGAGGGCCATTAGAGCGTCTGACTTCCCTCAAGGTGTGAGGTCGGTACCATCTTTGCAGGCCTTTCAGAGAAATCAGAACACTTGTTGTTCCCAAGGAATGGGGTAATTCTGGAGAGCAGCACCTCTCTTTTCAGCAGATCGTCTGTCAGTTTGAAGACACTTAAAAACATTTTGTTATTATTAACACAAGTTGTGGGGGGGGGGGCCTTTTTCTTGCCAAAAGGAGGTGTAAAAAAATCAATCGAATAAATTAAAGCGACCAAAATTTAGTTGAAGAGATTTTTTTCTCTTGTCCATTGATCTACTCCTCCTGTGCCCAACACAAAGCTGTAGGTACTAATGGATTTTGTTCCTTAGTACATGTGGCTGAGTGAACAAAACAACCATGTGCCAAGCAACCAAGGCAAGTTGAATTGTTATAGGCTGCATAACTAGACACAGAAGTCATGGATGCCAGCCTCCAGGTGGGACCTGGGGATCCTCTGGGATTACAGTTCATCTCCAGACTACAGAGACCAGTTCCCCTGGAGAAAATGGATGTTTTGGAGGGTGGACTCTGTGGCGTTGTCCCCCACTGAGGTCCCGGTCTTCCCCAGGCTCCATCCCCACATCTCCAGGAGCTTCCCAACCTGGATCTGGCAGCCCTAATCCCTCATTCTCTGCTGGTGGCCAGTGGGGACCTCACAACCCTACAACAGTGACAGACTTATGGGACAGAATCAAGTTGCACCTGAACCCCTATAAAAGGCAGGAGGTGGGGACAATTTAACGTGTATCATGGGAAGGCAGGAGGGAAGAGCTTAACCTTAATGAGGACCTCACAGTATGATGGGAAGGATAAGAGCTTAACCTTAATGAGGACCTCACAGTATGATGGGAAGGATTTTCCCTTAGCGGGAAATTGGACACGGGGATACAAAACCCTGTATTATAAGGTCCAGCTGGCTCTAAAATAGACTTCCTGCTGCATCTACCCCTGGTTCATCTCATTAACTTTAGATACCACAAACCTGGCCAACAGAATAACCAGGCTTCACAGGCTGTGGCAGATATCAGTGTATACTTCAAATGGAAGTCTGCCAATATGTACTTCCAAAAACACTGGGAAGAGTGTGGTACACAGGGCGCTGAAATAATGTTTGGCAAATGGGCTCCAGATCCTTTGGCCTGGCCTCTGGATTTGTTCTCCATTTTGAAATTATGGGCTGTTAAAAATGGTGGCCAGAAACTCATGGACTTAGAGTCCAGCAGGATATTAATTTCTCATTTGTGAAGCTTGCTACACAGTAGCCTTCAGCAAGTAAGTCTCAGATTTACCATTACCACCGCTGACTGAAATACTGAGATACCTACGTTATATCTTGGATGTAAGGGGACAGAATGAGAAACATAAATTGGATGCGTGGTCCAGTCTGTTGGCTTTCCATTGGTATGTTTGTGATCCAGAAATGGGTCATACCAGAGTCCAGTTGCCCTGCCCTGGATGTCTCAGGCTACCCCAATCTTTTCAGATTTCATAAGCTAAGCAGGGTCGGCCCTGGTTAGTATTTGGGTGGATGACCACCGAGGAAGTCCAGGGTTGCTATGCAGAGGCAGGCAATGGCAAACCACCTCCGTTTGTCTCTTGCCTGGAAAACCCTACAGGGTCGCCATAAGTCAGCTGCGACTTGACGGCACTTCCTGCCATCAAAGTCGAGCTGCACAAACGGCTACTCCTGTTGTCTTGTCTTTCTTTGTTTTAAATTTTTTTTAAAAAGAGAAAGATGGAGAGAATGGAGAACAGAGCAGGGCAAAGAGATGGAGGAATACAGAAAAGGTGAATTTGAAAAACTGTGCAATTTCGAAGGGGAACGATGAACTTTTGGGATAATTTAAAAAAATAAAAAGCGGGCCCTTTGTCAACGGTCAAGACTAAAGGTGAGACGGCCAAAGCTCAGGATGACTCTTTGGTCAAGACAGGTTTTATATTCTCAGAACACAGCCATTTAAGACAATGCCAATTAAGCCTTACCCACGGAAACACCTTCTAATTGGTTTTAGTTAACTGGACGAGTCTACGTGCTGGGGAAAGAAAACAAACAAACAAACATATCAAGCTGAATTTAAAATCAGCTTTTCTGATTTATCCATCTGGCCCCGCGACAAGCGTCCTTTGAAGGCATGACATATACCCAAACGCTCTTTCCCCGTTGATCTATCACATAACAGTTACAAGTCAAGCATTGTTGTTGAAGCATGCAACATCTCAAGAAGGTTACAAAAGTGGCTAGATAACTGCATATTAAATAAACCTCGGCTGGGGCGGTGGGGGGAAGACCCCCCCCCCCAAAGTTCCCCAAATATGGTTAGTTCTTTGCAGGTTCAGCTCTATAGCGTGGTTTGCTTCTTTTTTGTATCAGCAGCTGCCAAATTCACAACAGAAAGGTATTGCACCAAAAAGACAGGTTGCAGGGAAAACATATATCATCACATTTTTATGATTTTTTTTGAAAAAAAAGATATGTGGTACATAAAGTGCTTCTAGAATCGGTGCAATTAGAAATAAAGGGGGGGAAATCCTTATAGTTGAGATACCATTATCAAATGCGTACAGACAGATCTGGCTTCTGTTGCCCCCCCAGCTCAAGTGGTGCTAGGATTCATTCATAATGCCTCCATTGCAAAGAGTCAAGTACTAGTAAAACAGTTACTGTACAAAAGGTTAGCAACAGGATTAAGTAGTCTTCCCCCCTCTCCTCCCCGCGACAATAATGCCAACCCCATTCACCAAAAAGAGCTATAATACATATAAATATTACTAAGGAATAAGTGAGGCAATTTCTTTATTGAATGAGAGATTCGGCATGCTGTGTTATGTTATGATCTTCTTTGTAACTTGTTAACTATTCTGTTGATTGGGTGTAAAAGTACTTTATACAAATCAACGATTCTGTTTTCTCTCCGGCATCTGTGAAAGCTCAATGCAGATGATTAAAAGGCATTAGGTATTTTCTGGTGATATATCAAATCTGCAGAATTTTCTTTTTTTATTCTTTCCATTTTGTTGTTTTTTTTGTTGTTTTTTTAAAAAAAACACTTCCAAAAAGATCAGTGGTATGAGGCAGGAGGGGCGGAAAAGTAATTTTGCGAGTAAAAAAAATGCCATTGGAATCGAGTCTCAACTGAAACGAAGAACGGGGTGAAAATGCTAACACCCCCCCCCCCAGTATAAGGTTTTTGCTTAATTGTCATGAAATAAAATCGGGGGGGGGGGGGGGGTTAACCCAACTCATTTTTTAATAAAGTAAACATGAGCTGTAATACTATACCTGTAAAATGATTAATTCCATTCATTGTCATTAGAAAGTATGTAAAACATTTATTAAGGGCTTTTGCCTACAGAGGCGAGACATAAATAGCTGCTGAAATGTAATCAGAGTACACATCAACCTCGTTGGTAATTGGCCGTGGAAGCTTCAGGAACACTATCCACAGGTGCGAAAAAAAAGTCACTCCCAAGTGCTGGATTTAGACATCTGCACTGTACAAGCCTTTGCTCCGTGAACCAACCACACAGCGCCACTGCTCCATCAGCGTCTCTTGCAAACGTCTGTCAGGCAAAACTGAAAAGTGCACGCAGAACAAGCTCCGTGAACAGAATGTTTTCCCCCCCTGTTTCTCTTTTTTGAAAGAGCAGGCGCCATCTTAATCCACTCCTTCAAATCCTTGAGCGTTCTCCACTGCCATCAGAAGCTTCTCTCGTAATTCTTCGAAAGAGTCATAGGGAGGTAAGTCAAGGCGGTTAAAGCTGAAATCGAAGAGGGGAGAAATGTGCAGTTTCAGCGGTAAGTTGGTTTATTTTATTTTATTAACACTGTTTATAAACCGCCTTTCTCCCGGCGACTCAAGGCGGATTACATAGGGCAAGTCAGTACGATTCACAAGACGGGACATTCAATAAAGAATGAAATAAGATTTGGGTTGCAGAGCCAAGCAGAAGTCTCAAGATCACAACTGAAGCAAAGTATAAGTGTTAACATGACACATCAAATGATGCAAAATTACACAACGGGATCCAACCCGTAACAAACTATACACAGTCGTACAGACCACAGTCGCCAGTAATTTATCCCATAACTCTGTGAGGCCTTTTGTACAGCACTACCCTATTGCCTACATCAAAAAGCCCTCCGGATTGCAATGCAAAGTGAAAACTATTTGTGCAGTGTTTGGCTCAGAAAAAAAGGGACAGAGAGATGCATTGGGATTGTTCTGTTTCTGAAAACCAGAAACCAAGTTCAGCTTATCACAAACAAACAAACTGGAGTTTGTTCAAGTAAAGGATGAGTTTGGGCTATTCTTGGGTTGTATGCTCTTGAACTTATTTATTTATTTATTATTCATATTTCTATCCCGCCCTCCCCGGAGGCTCAGGGCGGCTTACAGGGCATATTGCCGAATAAAGCAGTAAAAACAATACAAAATATTAAATTACAACTCCATTAAAACAGATTTTGATACTCCTCTCAGCTAATTTCCAATCTCCAAATTACAATTTCTAAAAACAAGATGGCTGCTCCCTAACCGTCCCGTTCTCACCCATAGTGCAGCAATTATAGGGCCTAGATGTGCGTGCCCCCATCCTGATGTCCATATATGGGGGATAGATGGTAAACTAGTGCGATGGTAGTACACTTGAAGACTTCCTGGTTTAGGAAGTCTTCGAACTAACCGCAACGTGTTTTTGTGTCCCAGCAATTTAACAAACTAGAGCTCGTTTCTTGCCTACAATGCAACATTCTTAACTATGGTTTAATCCTGGTTGGGAATCCCAGCTTGTACACACAAACTCAAACACTAAACCCCCTTTCTCCCTTGAAACTGAATCTGAACAGAGCCCACAGACGACTCTGTAATTCAAGATTAAAGGGGTTTGGAAGGAAAAACAATTTTTGCTGAATTATTTCCCGAACCTCTCAGGGTAGGGGTTTTTTTTTGCCAGTCCTGGGACTGACAATAGGAATGAAACAATTTAGCATTCTGACAAAAAAAAAAGGCCTCTGATCCCACTGATCCGTTTTGCTAGCAGACTGTTCTCTTTTATGCAAGATGCTGGGGAACGGATCCTTCTGAAGACAAAGTGCCTCCCTTAGTGGAACAGATCTGTGGGACCCTCTGTAATCAGAGTACACATCAACCTCGTTGGTAATCTGTGGGACCCTCGTTGGTAATCTGTGGGACCCTCTGTAATCAGAGTACACATCAACCTCGTTGGTAATTGGCCGTGGAAGCTTCAGGAACACTATCCACAGGTGCGAAAAAAGTCACTCCCAAGTGCTGGATTTAGACATCTGCACTGTACAAGCATTTGCTCCCCTTCATGATTCAGCTACAACTGCAGCTACTGAACCTGAGTGCTTGTAAATGAACACGTCCACCTTACGTAGCTCTCTTGAATCATCCAGCTGCCTGAACCGGAGTTTCATAAGAGTCCACCTTTAAGACCAACACAGTTTAATTCTGGGAATGAGACTGTTGGTCTTCAAGGTGCCACTGGGTCTCAGACTTTGTTCTGCTGCTTCAGACCAACATGGCTACCCCACCTGGATCTATCTCACCAGAGTTTCATAAGAGAGGCAAGAAGAACTAGCCCAGTGTCATGAGATCTTTTTGGTGGTACATGGAAGTCAAGCTGAACCTTTCTCAGTTTCAATGATAAGCTTAAAAAGCAGTAAAGACATAGTCCCTTTTTTGTTGCACAAAATCTCTCTCTCTCACACACAAGACTGCTATGCTATTCCAGGAGTGAGCAAGGCAAGCTTGCAAAGCACCTCCCCACCCCTGTTTTTCTCTCCAGAATGCCCACTTTCCAGGGGGTGGCCACGTAACAGCCAAAGAAGCCAGGGCAACTAGGGTTGCCAGACCCCCAGTCCCAGAGGGATTTCCCCCCATTTGGGGGGCTCCTTCCTCCTGCCAGCCAGCTGGTCAATGCGGGGGGGAGCCCCACCCCCAAAAGCCCCGCTCCCAAGAGCGACCACCCCTCCCGGAAGATTCAAAGGGTCCTCCAGCTGAGCAGAGGGAGCATGTGGCCAGCTGGAGGGCCCTTTAAATCTTGCAGGAAGGAGACGGGTGGCTGTGCGCGCCTACACTCCAAGTAGTGAATTCGCGACTTGGAGCGCAGGCACATGCGGCCCCCCCCACTTCTCCCCCAAAGCATTTAAAGGAACCCTTTAAATGCTTTTGGCAAGGAGCAGGGGGCACCGGTCCCCAACGTGATGACATCACTTCTGCGTGACATCATAACGTTGGGGACGTCCCTGCCCCCTCAAGTAACACCCCCCAAAGAAGGACCTGGCCACCCTAAGGGCAGACTTTAATGGCTGGCTGCAGCATCTGGGCCGTGCATGGCCTACCTCTGTTCTATTTAGAAAGGGAGGGATGCTGGTGAGTAGATCCACAGCGAGAGTTTCTTTTAAAAGGCAATGTTAAAATATTTTTGGTAGGCAACAGGGAGAAGAGAGCATGCATTCATTCCACACTACACTGTGTCTTCAATTTTTAAAAAAGTCCTTAGCAGCCACAGTGCTATGGATGTGCTCCTGCACATCTCCAATTAATTTCAGTAGGGTCTATGCAGGCAGGAAACTGGGAAGAGCCATGGCTCAATGGTCAGTTAAAAAAGCCGGCCTGCTACTGGGTCAGACCTCAGTGGACCAATGGTCGGACTTTGTAGAAGGCAGCTGTACACTAAATTTATTTTCCACAATGTGATAATATACGAAGCTGCATTACGTTGTGCATTATGCATTTGCAGGCATTTCGCAAAGCACTTGCTGTCCGCTTTCAAAATGCAAAGAATTAGGGGTGCGGGGAGATTGTGGGACCGGATCCCAGCATCCCAACAGAACAAAGAGAGACAAGCAGACGGCTGGCTTTTAGAGGGCTGCCAATTTTGCCTTTCTTCTATCTGTTCCCCATCCATTCATTTTTTCTGAACGACAGAAACAAAACAGGGTGATCAATTGTTGGGGACAAATTATAATACCCAGCTAATGGGAGGGGTTTTTGCCTTCCCAGCCTCCCCCCACCCCGCCCTGAGAACATTTCCTTTCTGTTTTTAAGGGGTCAATCAAATATGGTCTCTGTTTTCAAAGGTTGCTTCCAGTCTCCTTTGGGATTCTTACAGTCACCCTTTTTTTGGAAAAATGTGAAACTATGCAGTGATTCATTCTCTCCCCCCCCCCCTCAGGAATTCATCCCACCTTTGCTACGGACTAAAATAAGAACTTTATTTTAAGACCTTGGCAGACTCCCTTAGCATCCACATAACTCACAACTCTCCCGCTAGAAAAAGACAACAGCATTAATCTCGCATTGAAAAATAGTTCGAGAAGCACCGTCTGAAGGTAGCCTGAAGATTTACAGCAGGATTTGCTAAGGATGGGACCTTCCTGCATCAAATCGAGTCACTATCTGCAAAAGGGCTCTGTCCTCCCTAGGCCGCGATTTCATATCTTTTAACAGATCGTATGTTTTAAAAGTAAGGTGGAAACGGATTCTGTAAATAAGCTGCTTCTCTGAAATAGCTGCTAAGTGAGAGCTCTGCTGTGCCCTCTTTGAGAACGGAGAACAAGCCCTGCCTCAGAGAAGAGGCTGTGTAAACAGGAGAGTTTTACGGGAGGGGAGGGCAGAATGAAGGGAAATGAATCACGGACGCCCACAGTTCTTAAGCATGGAATAATAAAAAGTAAGAAAAGGCAGCCCAGTAATCTGCCACCAACAAACATCTGTGAAGGCCAAAGTCAAGGATCCCCAACATTTATAAGCCTGCAGGGACCTTTGGAATTCTGACACAAAATGGCTGCCACGGGAGGCAGAGCCAATCACAAATGGCTGCCGGAGGAGGCAGTGTCAACCACAAAATGTCAGGGAGAGAGATTATGATAGACTCTTATCAGAACTCTACAACATTTCAGGCAGGTGCTCTGTTTAACAGGATGCCTTGTTTGAAAATATTTTCTTGCGTACCGTCAGCCACCCAATGGAGATTCTTCTGCTACGGTGGCAGCCACTGCCAAAGCGATGTTGTTAAAAGCCTGCACACTCCGTCGCAAGCTTTGCCGGGCAAAAGCCCTGCCCACTTCCTAAAAGTATTTGGCAGGAGCCAGAAAAGATGTCAGTGGGAGCCATGGCACCCATGCAGTGTTCCCTCTAAGCTGAGTTAGTGTGAGCGAGCTCACCGTTTTTTTAGCCTCTGGCTCACACATTTTTGTCTTAGCTCAGGAAGGATGGCTCCAGAGCAAACTAATTTATGCAGTAGCCAAATAGCTCACTCACAACTTTAATGCCAGGAGCTCACCAAGTAGAACTTTTGTTCACAGGACTCCACGGCTTAGAGGGAGCATTGGCTATGGGCACTATGGTGGAGACCACTAGCCAAAGTACATGGCGAGGAAGTAAGGTGGTTTTTGCAGAAGCAACTGGGGCAGAGTTGGGCTCCATGTTCCTCTGTACCTCAAAAAGGATGGGATCAGGACATGCATCTGTTTCTAAAGTGTGCTCAACAATCAGTCCATTCCAGCTTTAAATGCTGGAAGACCCAACTGGATCACCCAAAGCATCAGGACTGACTCTAGGGTTGCCAAGTCCTACCTTTCTACCAATGGGGGGAATCTCTGGGCCTTTCTGGGATCTTCGTGCGCGCGGTGCCTGTTGCACGGCGATGCGCTAATTTTTCGGCAAAACTCTATGGTTTGAGCCCAGTTTTACTACAGAGTTTTGTCCGAAAAACTAGAGCGTTGTCGTGTGATGTGATTATGTCACTTCCAGGTGACATCATCGTGCCGCGTTTCGGGGCATTTGTGGGTGGGCAGGAGCCCGCAAAAAGCACAGGAACCACCACCCAGACTGGGGGGGGGGGGGGGGGGGCACCCCTAACTGACTCATCATAATTTAAATCTTCTCTACCCGGGGACTCTTGGCATCACCAGATGATGTTTGGAACTTAATGCACACAGATGTAGAACAGAGAACAAGGAGCAACGTCAGCTTTGACACAGTCGCTCTTCACTATGTCGCAGCAGCAGCAACGGAGATCCATCTCGGCACTGGTGATACACATGTACTCTGTTCTTACCACAAAGTTGCATCTTCCAGACATTCCAAATCAATCCTCTAATAGCTGGGTGCAAACTAACCCCTGATTCTCACGAATCTTTTCCTGACCTTTTGGCATGCATGAATATACGACACGGCGATTAATCCAACATACAAAACCCATCATGTTCCGCTAGAAGCGGCCTCCAGAGACTGAACGGGGATAATGTCAGACTTAATCACTGGGAGAAATTCTTCCGTAGCAGCTAAACTCAACAAGATCCATATTTATTTCTTACCATGTGTGAGCTCTGGGTAACTTCTCAGGGCTTCCCCATTGCTCTATTGTAAACAGCTGAGGACCGTTTGAACCTGGATCAAAGCAGAAGCATGTGAATTGAACTGTCTGTAAACAGCGGCAGCCCGTGGCGGACTATATCAATGAATGCTTAATGGTAAGGCAGGCTCTCTAGGGTGGTTTGAACAGTTGCTGGGGGTGCTTTCCCTGTGCAAAAAATGTGTGTGTACGCTCTCTGTGGGCAAAATGCCCATTCCCTTCTTACTTGCGACTATGAGTTGAATGGCTGCTATTGTAGAGCTGAATGTGGAGGGTTTTTAAAATTAGTTTTAGGCCTTTCATAGTATTTCTCGACTTGGGAATTTTAAAGCATCTTGGGTCACAGCTATTATCGGTGTAGTATGTCTTGTGCATTTATTGTTGGTTTTTAACTTTTAGTTATTTATTGTATACCTTTTCTGTTGTTAGCCACCCTAAGCCCTGCTTGCAGGGAAGGGCGGCCTAAAAATCTAATTGAATGAATGAATAAAAATGGGGCTAATGCTCCATGTCAAAAATGAATGCTGTGTGTGCAGAAGATCCCATGTCCTAACTCTGGTATTTCCAGTTAAGAAAGGGATCTTGGGAGTCTGGTCTGCTGTCAAGAAGAGACTAGAAGGACCAGACCTACAATCTGGGTGAGAGAGCACCATCCTCTGTTCCTACAATTCTTATGCACCCAATTTCAAGGTCAGAATAAGAACAGTAAATGGCCAGTGGGATTGCACATTTCTTTGGCAAAATGGTATTAGCAAACTAGCAGTGGGTGAGCTCATGTGAACGCAGGATCAGGACACTTTTACAGAGAATGTACATACACACAGATGCCACCCCCCCCCCCACAACACACATACATCAGTTTGGCTTTCAGTTCTGAAATCCAGGTGCAGGAAACTGAGGAATTAAATATGGCAAAGAGAGGGAATTTGCCAGGAAGAGTCACTCTTGCTGTCAGACCCCTGGAGAAATCAGTTCCCAACAACAATCATTCAAAAGAATATAACGTTTATTGAGACATCGATAGGATTCAGACTCTTGACATTCTGTGTTAGAACTAGTGGAAAGTGGTGAAGCAAGCAATTATACCTATATCAAGCAGGACCCTAGTAGCCCAGGGCCAATCATACCTAAGCATGAGGCCCGCCGAAATAACAGCTCATAGTTCGCAGGGGAAAGAAGGCACCAAGCTCTGCTGGGGCTCAAGGTTATTTGCCTAGGCCGACTAAGATAACAAGAGCAGCATAGAAAAGTCTAAAAGTGAAAGTAGATGTTCTTCTCACTCCCCTCTGTCTCCATGGCAACCAAGCCCAGCGGGCGCGAGGTTGACACCTGCCACCATGGTGTGGGGTTAGGGAAATTAGACATTCCCTTGTCTTATAGTCCCAGTGCCCTGACCTAGATAACCCAGGCCAGCCCAATCTCATAAGATCTCAAAAGCTAAGTAGGGTTGGCCCTGGTCAGTACTTAGATGACGGACCACCAAAGAATACCAGGGTCACAGTACAGAGGCAGGCAATGCCAAGCCACCACTGCACATCTCTTGACTTGAAAACCCTACTGGGGGTCACCAAAAGTCAACTGTGACTTGATGGCAAAAAACAACAGCCCAATCCAAACCGGGACCCCAAGTGTGTGCAATAAGTTTAAAAAACGAGAGGTTAGTTTATGCATCTCCCATTGTCACATCTGCTTTGGTTCCAGTGGTGGTTGAGACCTAGTCAGGTTGTTGTTTTAAATACAGATTTGCAGCCAGTCCTGCCCAACCCACTCAGAGAAACCCCAGGAAACTCACCATAAAGTTCAGCAAATCCATTCATAGGCACTCGTGATGTCCCAGTTACAAACTGCAACAGTCGGATGCGTTTCTCAGCATCCATCAAAAGAACAGCCTGCAGAACAGGGAGATCCCAGTTACGGAAGTCAATGGCTACAGCCGCAGACAGACACTTGTTTCTCACACCACAGGCACAGCCAACGACTGGAACTGGAATCCAGACACTGGGATAGGTCTCATCGACAGCCAGTGGAAATGTGCTAGGTGAAGAGGAAACTTCCTCCCTCTTTTTTTCTGCTGAAACCATGCCCCTGATCAGTGGACCTTGGGAACAATGTGAGAGGTGAAGTGTGTGTGTGTGTGTGTGTACAGGGTGTGTGTGCCTACAATCATCTTCTGGGCGTAGAACAGCAGTCACTGTGTGTGTGTGGAGGGGGAGGTATTTGTGAATTTCCTGCACTGTGCAGGGGTTGGACTAGACAGCCCTGGAGGTCCCTTCCAACTCTATGATTCTATGATTCTGTTCTAATGGGAAGGGAGAATTGCCTCTCCCTTCCATGAGGGAAAGTGTCTCCTGAAAGCTGGAAAAGAAGGCTAGGACATCACATCACATTTGATATCACATTCTGAGCATCAGGCAGCAGACACCTTTCCAAGAACATCCCCAGATCAAAGTTTGGGTTAGGATAGCTAGATTGGGGTCGCAAAGAGTCGGACTCGACTGTGTGACTGAACAACAACAAAAAGCGCTGTAGAGACTAACAAGATTTTGGGGGTATGAGCCTTCCAGAGTCAACGCTCCCACTGTCAGAGACTGGGTTAGAATGGGAGCAAGGCAGCGATGGGAACACAGAGACTGACAAAGGTACCTTCCAGAACCACTGAATGACGGGATGGTTCGGACAGTATCCATTCTTGTAGATTGTGTGTTGCCTCCAGTCATTGACGTCCACATCGCCAAGGCCACACATCAGTAACTGTGAAGGAAGGGCATTTTTTAAAAAAAACAAAACAAAACAAAACATGCAGCGTCTTTTCATCATCTGACCTCCTCAAGTTCCTCCTCATCTTGGAAAGTTCTTGTTTATTCCTTTAAAGAGAGAACCCAACCCCAAACACTGTCACACTGATGTTTTATTGTTGGCTTCTGTATTTGAAATATGTATTCTTACTAATACATCTGCCCTTGACAGAACAGCTCTGAAGGAACTTATGACTGACCCAAGGTCATACCAGCAGCTGCAAGTGGAAGAGTGGGGAATCAAACTCGGTTCTCCCAGATTAGAGTTCGCACTCTTAACCACTACACCAAACTGGCTCTCAAGGGGATTAAGGAGCTTCCTTCTTGATGCTAAAAGTATTTGAATAAATTCTTCTAGTTAGATACATTCTAAGTTCCCATGTACTCAACCGTATATGCATATTAATCCCCCTCAACCCTATCTTAATTCTACAAAATGTGACATAGCTGAGCATTTTTCCCCCCATGGGGGCCAATCTGATTACATGTAAGAATCGGTAAGTGTTGGGCTGGGCCCAAAATTCAGTTTCCATTAATGGAAAGGCATTTCAGTCAACAGAAACCCCCCTCCCCCCAAAGGCAACTAAAAGGCAACCAACCTCCAGCTCGTTTTCATCAAAAATTTTAATTAAGTCAGTTGGCAGAAGTTCTGTGAAACCCTGGAGGGAGGGAAGAGGGGGGAAAAAAACACCAAGTACAAAATGACACGTGTTCCCAGTGAATTTTAATTTATCAACAATAAATTAAAAATCCCCTGTTCTAGCTTGAGGGGTAGGGGGAACTGAACTAGAGATATTCTGTAACCCAAACTGTGTACTCTGCCACTGCTCTACAAAACTTAGAAGAATACCAGCAACATTCTTGACTATTAACTGTCGCTTTAGTTTTTGCAACTTTAGGCAAATTTTCCTTAACATCAGTGACATTAAAGGATTACGGGTGTTTGGGAAAGGCCTGTCTCACGTTTAAACTCTGGAGAGCGGTTTTTCTAGTTTGTGCAAGTAAAACTTTAGCATAAACTGGGCATGCAGAGCCATTATGTTATCAATGAGAATCAACATTCACCCAGGCCCTTCGGCATCAACAGGACAGGACGTCGCCTCACTCTGACCAGATCATATCTTCTACTCTGACCGTCCATCATCTGTCTGTCCATCATCTGTCTGTCTGTCTGTCTAGCTATCCATCCATCCATCCATCCATCATCTATCCATCCATCATCTATCCATCCATCATCATCTATCTATCTAATTAAATTTATAGCCCACCGTCCCCCCATTGTATGCTCAGGGTGGGTAACAACATATATGTATCTTCTGTTAATGAAGATTTACAATTTTAAAAACATACTACAATAATCAATTTAAAATCCATAAAATCATCATCTTTATTTCACTAAAACTTCAGCATTACGTGTCATCATTGCCTGATCCTGCCATGCTTACATGTATGCAAAGCTGCCATTTTTTTCTCTCCCCACTTCTTTTTGAATTTATGTAGGGTACAAACGAAGTAACAAAGTAAACAAAGAAGGTGTAAATAAGGAGGCAGAATGGACAGCAGGTAGGGAGCCACACTTTGAAGCTGCTGCTCTGTCTCCCAGGATAGCACAATAGAAACGGGAATGGACTGAAAGCTCTCTCCCTTGCGTTCTGATTCTCTAAAGGCAGGGAATTTTTCACAAGTGCCAGGATACAAAAAACGACAGTCCCTCCCTGCAGTCTGAATTGGTACAGTCCACTCTATCCCGCTGTTGTGCTGCACATATAAATCAGGCTTCCCTCAGACCGAGAGTTGCCAACCTCCAGGGGGTTGCCAGAGATCTCTTGGAATGACAACTGGTCTCCAGGCAACAGAGATCAGACCACCTGGAGAAAATGGCTGCTGCTTTGGAAGGTGGACTCTGTGGCATTGGACCCTGCTGGAATCCCTCCCTTCCCCAAACCCCCCCTCCTCAGGCTCCACCCCCCCCAAATCTCCAGGTACTTCCCAACCCAGAGCTGGCAGCCCTACTCAGACCCTAGTTACACACCATCATTGTGTGTGTGGCTCTGGTTAATAACCAGTAAGGCAGGCCTAGAGAATTCACAGATACTATTTCTGGTGTATCCTCCCATTCTCACTTTGGAAGTCTGCATTAATTCACATTAAAAAGATCAGCAACAGCAAAAATGAGCAAAATGTGGCTGTGCCCCCCCCCCCCCCCCCCCACGCCCCCGAAACACCACCAACGCAGCCAAGGGCTGGTGAAGCTGCTTACCTCTAGAAATGCATTCATCTGCTTTTGGACCCTGTTAACAAACCTCCACTGGATGACTAAGCTGCAGGAGAGAAGGGGGGGGGGGAAACACTTTGGTTAGGAGACGTAAAAGAGAGATCTCAGCCACCATCTCTCCGTGCCTTTTTACAGCTTCTTACTTCTAGCTTCAGTGATCTTTCACCGAACTCATATCAAAGCAAGGAAACAGCTCAAACGAGGGGAAAATCAATCCCTCTCATTTTTACACAGCAGTTCTGATGGCCGCTGAACATGCGAATATGTGTGGCTTTGTAATTTAATTCCTCACTTTCCCTTTGCGAGACCAATGTGACAGTGAAGGAAAAGTACCGATGGGCACAAAACTGTTACTCGAAAGGGAAACTCTTTTCCACTATACAGTATGACATTTAAGTCACTTTTGCACATCTACTCTAAATGCTCCAGTGATGACCTTTCCATACTTAGAACGGTACGCAGTGATGAAGTGACATTAATCTGGCCGTTCCTATGGAGATGATAGTCAGTTCTACCATGTCTGGCTCAAGAGAAATTAATTTCTTGCTTTACAAAACTACCAGGAAGGATTGCCTATAGAAAAATGTACCTAATATTTCAATGAAGGCCAAACTTCACATGGAGTTCTTATGTAATATACCTCATTTTAATTGAAAAAAGGAAAGAAAAGCAGCCATTAGAAGCCGCAATGAGGGAGAAGGAATGATTAACACTTTCTCTACTCCCTGTTCTTCTTTTTAGAATTACTTCCTTCAAGCTCTCTCCTGAGGCAGAGGGATAGGTGGTTTTTAGAGGAAAAATGGCCAGCAGGGAAAAGGATAATTCCTTACAAGGAGGAGGAGGAGGAGGAGATGGAGATTGGATTTATACCCCACCCTTCATTACCTAAAGGAGTCTCAGAGCGGTTTACAATCTCCTTTCCCTTCCCCTCCCCACAACAGACACCCTCAGCTGAGAGGGCTCTTTCGAGAACTGCCCTTGAGAGGACAGCTCTGAGCGAACTTGTGACTGAACCAAGGTCACACCAGCAGCTGCATGTGGAGGAGTGGGGAATCATGCCCGGTTCTCCCGGAGTCTGTGCTCCTAACCACTACACCAAACTGCCTTCTCTCCTCTCCTCTCCTCCTTGCAAATCCTGTCCTGATCTGGATAGCCCAGGCTAGCCTTGTAAGCTAAGCAGGGTCAGTACTCGGATGGGAGACCACGAAGGAATACCAGGCTTGCTATGCAGAGCCAGGCAATGGCAAACCACCTGTGTTTAGTCTCTTGCCTTGAAAACTCTACTAGGGGCCACTATAAGTTGGCTGTGACTTGACCAAAAAACAAAACTGCAGATCATTCTATCCCCCCTCCCCCTTTCTCCCTCCCTCTCTCCCTAATTTACCCCACAGGAATGTTGAGAAGATAAACATCCTTAATCGGCACTGAGCTAGGTTGACCCTGATTCCATACCCTAATTTTAAGGAGAGCCAACAGCTTTTCTTGATGTACCATTAAAAGGACATGTAACTCGAGTGTATTCATTGAGCTTTTGGTGCTACTGGCTCTCACAACAGAGAGGAAAAAACAAGAGGCAAGAACAACAGCTTTGAAGTGGATGCACGGCAAGAACGTGTTGAGCAAGAGCTGCAATGGATTTCCACCGGGGGAAGAGAAATAAAAGAGGAGGAGGGGCGGCAGTTTATAGATTGCAGCCAAAAGCTAAAACAACAGCAAAGCATTACAGTTGAAATGAAATTCACAGGCAGTGGTAGAAACGAGTAAATTGGGTACGAACTCAAAGCATGTAATAACTCAAAGCTTACTCCTTTTATTTATTTATTTACTTTTTGGTGTCAAGTCAGAGCTGATCTATGGCAACCCCAGAGGGTTTTCAAGGCAAAGGACATCCAGAGGTGGTTTGCCCAGTTGCCTGCCTCAGTGTCATGACCAGGGCTTTTTTTGGTAGAAAAAACCAAGCAGGAACTCATTAGCATATTAGGCCACACCCCTGACAGCACAGCTCATTAGCATATTAGGCCACACCCCCGTGTTACCAGAAGTGTGGCCATCCAGCCACACCCACCTTTTGCTTCTTATTCTGTTGACCTTGTTTGTGGTCAAAACCCAGGGCTTTTTTTGTAGCAGGAATTCCTTTGCATGTTAGGCCACACACCCCTAATGTAGCCAATCCTAATGAGTTTCTGCTGTTGGGTGTGGCCTATTATGCTAATGAGTTCCTGCTGGGCGTGGCCAACTTGGGAGCCAGCCGGAACTCCGTTCCTGTGCGTTCCTGCCCATTCCTGCCCAAAAATAGCCCTGGTCATGACCCCTGGAGGTCTCCCATCCAAAGACTAGCCAGGGCTGACTCTGTTAAGCTTCTGAGATCTGACAAGAGCAGGCGGGCGTAGGGTGGGGGCACCCTATCTGGCTAGTTTGAAGTTTCTTTCAACAAATTTTTCCACAGTCTTGATAAGAGCAAAGAGTGGAGAACAGATGGTATGTGTAGATTTCAACAGGGGCGACACTTGTCAGATTTCAATTTTGGCGTTCTGCGGTCTCTGTGCTAAGATGGTTGAAACTCCTCCTCCTCTTCCATATTTGTTTTAAAATGTCCATGATATTTATCTTTTGCCTTATTGTTTCTCTCTTTTTATGGCAAGCGTAACTTTGGACCTGAGGATTCTAAAATGGCTTTCCGCAGCCTGCAAAGAACTTAAACCAGGAACGGCTTTTTGGTGCGGTTCTTCTGATTCCACCTGAGAGCATCTAAACCGGCACAACAGATGAAGCCTTAAACGGAACAACGGAATTAATAATAATACATACTCAATATATTCCCTTTTGTTTTCATTCGTGACCATGATTTCTGATCCATTTGGCTTCAAGTCAACTTGATATGTCTGTGAAGACAAAAGAGAAAGGAAAGAAAAAGACACCACAGTCACATGTTTCATCTGGGTACTCAGAAAAATCACCGGCCACAGTAGCCTAAACGCTAACACATCATTTTCCTAATGAGTAAATTCTCAGCAATTTCAATGTCTCTCATGTAACCTCATTAAAATGTCTATGGAGGGATATATATCTGAGCATCAAATTACTTCCTGCTTGCCCTGAACTAGATAGCCCAGGCAAGCCTGATCTCATCAGATCTCAGAAGCTAAGCAGGGCCGACCGTGGCTAGTATCTGGATAGGAGACCTCCAGAGAATACCAGGGCCGGGAGGAGGCCAGAGGCAGGCCATCCAGCCACTTTTCTGAATGTCCTCCCTGCCCCAGTAGGAGTTGCCAGAGGTCGCCATGACTTCCAGGTATGGGCATGCACACGCAAAATGCAAAAAAGCAAAAAAAATAATAATAATCATGCTCAAAGGCAACCTCCAGAAGGGCAAGCAGCTGCCAAGTAATTGACAAATTAGAATCAGACACCACGACTCATTAGCAAGTATTAAAGGCAAAGGCAGATTTGTGTGTCATCTGCTCAGCGATAACGGAATTAACCACGTTCAGTGGGGACATCATAGGCAGCTTTCAAATTACTTCTCGTGCCACGTTTGGCATCTCTTCTGCTCCGTGAGGGTCCAAAGACGAAATGCACCCAACACTTCGGATTTCATTGGCTCTCGTCGTGAGATACCTCGAGCGTGCCGGAGATAAGTCTCCAAGGTGGACCATTGCCTGTGGCAAGTAGCAGGCCTTCTAGGGACACAGGCTGCTGGGCATGAGGCGGACATCTAATGGCTTATTAAGCATTATTAATGCAGCACACGGCATTGGGCAGAATCAAGTGAACCAATTAAAAAAGCCAGGTGCCTGTGCTTGTTAGCGATGTATCTAAAAAACTGGGAAGTACGAAAGTATGAAAAATGGGGTGGGGAAATGCGTTTTTGAACACTAAGGTTGCCAGTCTCCGGGTGGCACCTAGAGATCTCCTGCTATTACAATTGATCTCCAGAGGACCAAGATCAATTCCCCTGGAGCGAACGGCTGCTTTAGAGGGTGGACTCTAAGGCATTATGCCCTGCTGAGGTCTTGCCCTCTCCACCCTCCCCAGGCTGTGCCACCAAATCTCCAGGTATTTCCCAACCCAGAGCTGGTAACTGTATCGAACACAAACACCAGACAGGGCTTGTTGATCAGACAGCTGAGAATCGCTAAAGCTTCCTGTTAAGTGTATCTGTGTGGGTTTGCCTCTGTGTAAAACAGCCCCTATGGATGTCTCCAACAAGAACAACACACACACCCCTTCATATTTTATGGTTGGGAATGATTCTCTGGGAAAACATCAACACAAATAACCCATATGGATGCTATAGCCAAGATCCATTAAAAGAACTGGCTTCTGCTCATGTAAATGTTTGTGCAAAATCAATGCGGACGCTTCATTTGGATGGGTACTGCTCCAGTGTAATCATTCCAAAGTGCTCCCTGCATCAAGACCCCTACATATGATGAGTTTTTCTACTGTGTGTTAGGTGGGAATCATTCATCTGTCATATGAACGGTGCAGAAGTGAGCTGGAAGGGGATGGTTTCAGGAGGCAGTCATGCTGGTTCACAGTAGAACAGCTGGAGGAGGGTGCTGGCAGGTCCTTTACTGCGTAGCATGGATGGCTTCAAGAGGGAATTAGATAAGCATATGGAGCAGAGGTCCATCAGTGGCTATTAGCCACAAGGTATAGATAGGAATTCTCGGTCTGGGGCAAGTGATGCTCTGTCTTCTTGGTGCTTGGGGGGG